GTCTCGGTGAATAATGTTGTGGTGCTCGTCCGCCCTGTACCGAGCCGAAGAGCTGAGAAAAGTCAAACTGAACCACAGTCGCATTACACCGTAAACGCGGTGACCCTTTCCCCGAACGGTCCAGCCCACGGTTGCCTGAGACCCTCGGAGGTGTGGGGAGAATTGGCAGCAGTGTCGCATCCCCGCCCGGCGCTGCATCGACCACCCCCGCCCCCGCAGCGCCCCCGCCCCCGCGCTTCACCGGCTGTCCACCCGGCACCTTGCCAGTGCTCCTAACCGCAAATTTTGGAGACGTCGCAACAGTGGGTAGTTTATTTGTCCTAGCAGTCGTTGGTGTCTCCTTTGGTCGCTTTCCCACAGCTTCCGGTGCTTTTACCGCAGAGGTCGAAGGAGGTGAGCGAGCGGAGGGAACAGAAGGAGCAGACGGAACAGAAGAGGACAAACGAGCGGAGGGAGCGGAGGGAGCGGAAGGAGCGGAGGGAGCGGAAGGAGCGGAAGGAGCGGAAGGAGTGGAAGCCACACTCTGTCGGGCGCTGTGCCCTTGTTTATAAGTGATTACACAAGGCAAAGGCGGTTCGTCACTCTCCTGCCCGTCGGCCCGAGAGGGATATTCAAGACCGATATTATTGCTTTGCTTCTTATGGGCGGCGTAGGAAAGGTCCGTAGTTGGTGTTGCCACAGAAGCACCTTTGTCGTCGTCTTGGGGCCTCTGCGGCACGATACGGCTGCTGCCTCCATAAGTGACCTCACCTACGGCTACATCCTGGCTAGCGTAAGAGAGTTCCCCTGTGGCAGCAGAGTGAGCGGCACTGATGGGACTGCCTTTGCTGCGCTTCTGGGTAGATCTTTCAGCAGCGCCTGTGACGTCGCCCCTCGCCGGTGTGGAAACACTCCCAGCTGCAATCGACACACTTGAGCTGATGGCTCCCTCCGCATTGCTCAAAATACCGGAGCTGTTCGTCCTCGGAAAGACACTAAGTTTCCCTGCCACATCAAATACCACTGCTGCATTAACCTCGGTGGCACCAGATCTCCCCGCAGCGCTGTCTGACTTCCGCAGCGATGCCCTTACTGAGCCGGCAGAAGCCCCCAGAGGGGTTCCTGCTGCAGCCGCCTCTGTCAGTCGCAACTTCATTATTTCTGCATTGGAGGAGCTGTTTTCGCGTGCGCTGCCAATAGGTTTCTCCTGGACGCCAAGAGGCGTGTCGGACGTTTTTCCGGATGAATTCGAGACATACCCGCCAGACGCAGCCTTGTTCAGAAGCTGGTGTGAGCTGCCTAATGCATTCCGCTGCAGCCGGTGAACTAAGCTCAGCAGCAGAACGGTGTCAGCCGCAACAATGCCAGTTAGGTACTCCGCCTGCGTTGTCGCATTCTCGTTTTGCTCGTCCGCGTAAAATGGTGTCGGCTTTGCACTACCTGATTGCGCACGCCCCCTTGAGCGAGCAAAAGCTTCCTCAAGTTCGACGAGTGCCGCGTGCAGGTCGACGTACTTCCTAGCGAGGGAGCGCACACTGCGGTTGGTGGAAGACTGCGTCCTCTCAGTTGATTTTCCCCTTTCTTTCGGGATTCGTCCAGAACGGCTTCGTTCTTCTGACGTCTTGCTGGTGGGGGCCTCGATATTGAGGTCCCCACTCACCTCTCGTTGCTCCTGCATAAAGATTGGAAGCCCTCCGCCAGAGGGTGAAGCATCGGCATCGTCTTTCAACGGTGTCCCAGCCTTTCCCAGAGGCAGGGCAACTTGGGAACGCCGGGACGGCAACAGTTCTCCGGACTGCGCCATGGCACCTAAGAGAGACGAGGTGGACTGCATGTTAGGATTCAGCAAGCTTGGGTCACTCCGTCGCATCTGACCCAATGCGGTCGCCGGCAACAGCTGGCTACTGGAAGAGTATGTACTCTGCCGCCAGCTCGTCTGTGTCCCCTGTTCCCGCACCTCAACCATTTTAGTTTCGGCCGTATAGATGATGGCGCTGTCGCCTCGGGTGCTCTGTTCACAGGAAGCTGCTGGTCGCTGTGATCCACTGGAGCGGGCCTGCAACAGCGGAAGTGGGGAAAAACGATCTGTAGGCCCTGTTTTTCCCGGCACCAGCGCGGGCTTGCTCCTGGAATCCCTCAAGCGCCCCGAGCCCTTGGACTTGATGCGGTCGCCGCCACTTGGCGCATCCGACTGCAAGGGTGACACCCACTTGCTGTCCTGCGTACTCTGCAGATCCTCAAGCTCCACCGGCGGCATGGGGGTTCCATGCTCTCTGAAGTCTGTGAGCTGTGATGGGGGGTCCGAGTGAACTGGCTTTGTCAGCACCGCAGGTTCCTCAAAGACCAGCCCCGTTGTCACACTCTCACCCTGGCCCGAGGTGCTGTTCTTGTCATTTTCACTGTCATATCTTTGGCGCCGTTCCTCGCTGGTCCGTTGGGGGGACTCGACTCCCTCTGGGGTGGCAATCTTAGAGGCGTTGGAAAGATGTGGTGTGACACCCGGCATCGGGTTAACCATGGAGATGGCGCTGAATGTCACGCGTGCCTCCTCAGCGGCATTGGGAGCGGCGGTGCTCAAGAACGACGGGGACTGGGAAGCGTGCGACCCCACGGCATCCTCCCGCGACATGCAGAGCATCTCGTACGACTCGGCTATGTTTTGCACGTGTTTACGGTACATGGTGTGGCGCAGCATGACGTACTTCCTCTCCTCCATCGAACGTTGGACCTGCGCTTCCAGCTCCACAATGCGGAGCATCAGGCGGGACTCCGCAGAGCGACCCTCGACGTCGTCGGTGATACGCTGCAGTGCTTCCGGGCTGTACTCGCTGCCCTCACCCCCCACGCTCCCTAGCACCCCGTCACGCCGCAGGAGCCCACCGTACCCAAGCTGGCGCCGCAGGTTGGCAATGATCGTTTCCTTCTGTGAGAGTGAGACGAGCCCCTCGGAGACGCGGCTGTGGAGTATCTGCAGCTCCTCCTCGCGCTTTGCCATTTTTTCCTCAATCATCTCCGCCTCTGACTTCATCCGGCCGATTTGCTGCCGCAGCAACTCCGCCATGACGTCGTGCTTGGCAACGTCCTGCAGAAGCTGCGTGTTTTTCCGCTCCAGCTCGTTGGCCCGCATCTCCAGCAGGTTGTAGGAGCTCTGCAGCTGCTCGTGCTGCCCCTCCAGAAGGGCGTACTGCTGGTGGCGCGTGTGGAGTTGTCCCTTCGTGGACTCCAGCATCGCCTTTGTGGTGGCGAAGCGGTTCTGCACCGCCTCAAAGAGCTCAAACGACACTGTGATGGAGGGGACTGTATCCCCGGGCGGCCCATCCTCGCCAAACAAGAGGGCCTTCATCGAGTAGTAGCCGGGGCTGCCGATTGCCTCCAGGATGCGGTGGTAGCCGTCACCAAACTCCAGCACCGCGCGCGCCTCCGCGGAGGTTGGGGCCGCCGTCGCCAGCGTGTGGGAGGCGTTGGATGACGCCGACAGGTGAGTGCCGTTGGTGCCCGCCGAGTCGCTGGCCCAGTTGACGCCGCCCATCTCGGGAGGCACGGAGCGCTGCGCACATGAGGTGGACTGGTGCGGTGGCGCAGCGCCAGTTCCCTCCGACATCTTCCTCCCTCGCTGCAGGGCCAAAGCGAAACACGCAAGGAATAATAATAATAATAATAAAACAACGACTTCTCCTTCGCTTAACTTTTTTTATTTTTTTCTGCGCGAGCGAAACTCAGATGGAAGAACACAGACAAACCCAAAAATAAAAAATAAAAAATGAAGGGGTGAGGCGCAGCCAACAGGCAATAAAAGAGAGAGAGAGAAAAAAAAAGGCGCCGTGAAAGACAAGCTCACCTCCGTTAGAAGCAGCAACAGAGACAGATTTATATGTAAAGACGCAGCAGACACACCCACACACCCTTCTCCTCCCCCCTCTCATCCTCGCACCTTCTATCGCCCTAACCCCCGCGCTTCGCAAAGCAAACACGCACTCACGCGGGGGGGAAAAAACACACACAACAATGGCAGCACACAGCAAAGCAACTAAAAAACAGCAACAGCAAAAAAAAACAAACAAACAAACAAACAATTGTTTGAAGAAAAAAGAGGTATCCATTTCAACGGCTGCCCCGCCCACATATGCACGATCGGTAAAGTAATATCAATCATAATAACAATATATGCACACACTAAGTCGCATCACTCGGTGTGCGCCAGTGCTCTGTCCAACGAATGCCCATAAGCCTCGCCAAAGAGGTTAAGGTGGTTCAACAATGGAAACACCTGGTACCACGGCACTCGAGATTCGTGTCCCGCCTCAAGTGGCATCTCCGCCTCGTACGCCGCGTAGAACTCACAACCAAAGCCACCGAAGAGCTGCGTCATGGCGAGATCCACCTCGCGGTGACCGTAGAATGACGACGGGTCAATGAGGTACGGTTCCCCAGCTTCTCCGTACATGACATTTCCGCCCCACAGGTCGCCGTGCAAAAGACTCGGCTGCACCTGCTTCCTTGAGGCGTAAAAGGCACGAAAGCGGCTGCTGAAGAGCGCAAACATTTCTTGGCGTCGCCCACTCCAGTAACCCTTTCGCTGCGCCAACGCCACCCGTGGCTCCAGGAGGCAGTCGATGTAATACGCTGCCCAGTCCGCCGACCAGCCGGCCGGTGTCTCACAGCCCGCCAACCCTATCGGCACAGAAGATCCAAACTGACCGTTCGGACTCGTCTGCCGATGCACCTTTGCGAGCATACGGCCCAGTTCCGGCAAGTTCCGCCGAGCCGCACCCCAACAGCCATGCGGGGCGCTCTGAATCCACATCATGATGAGGTAGGCCCACCCGTTCACCTCCCCCACCTGCACTACACGCGGGGTGCGGGCAACGGCTGAGAGAAGCGACAGCCCCATTGACTCCGCCGCGTAGAAGTCCGCCGTGGTGCCGCGCTGCAGCTTTAAGAAGTATACAACCCCCGCCTCCTCCATCTCCAGCCGGTATGTTTCGTTGATGTCGCCACCAAAAACGCGCTTTGCACGTGCGACCTTCGCCGAAAGAACGCGCGAGAAGGTCTCCTCCAGAGACTCCGTCATAATGAGCTCCGCGCAGCGCTTTCGCTGACGATGGCAATGGTGCACGACGAGGCAATTGCAGTGCTGGCTAAAAGCAGCGTCGCAGCAACTAAGCAGGAAAGCGGTTGCGTGAAAGCCGGGAGAGAGAAATGGTGCAACGATTGCGTGCAGCAAAAATCGCAGAGAGTGGGAGGAACTGGGATGGCACCCTGCATTGCAAAGTAGCACAGCCAGGAAGGAAGGAAGGAAGGGTCGTTTAGGACAAAGACGACAAGAACGCGCCTCAGCCACTTTGTGCTTCTGCAAGCAGCTGCGTGTATTTTGCTCGCATGACGTGATAGTCTGGTGGCAGACTCCGCTCCGCTTGGGGTTGCTGCATGAGGGCGTTTGTGAAGATTGCGAACACTGTCAGAAACTCAACCGATCTCCGTCGGCTACCGCCACTGCCGCTGTCCTCCTCACGCTGTCGCTCTTCATCCAGCACCGCCTCCAAGGCACACTGCAGGACATCATTCATCATCCTCGGGTTAAGGAGTCGCTCACCCAGTGGCTGCGAGCGTTGATGACTCGCGTAGATGTACCTCGCAGCGTCTAGAGGCCGCCTCTCCGTCAGTAACACCTGAACGACTAGCGCATCCTCCCGCAGCCTCAGCAACATATCAATGCCCAGTTTCCGATACGCACCGCCCATCGACAGCAGCACCATCGCCGTGAGAACATGATCCGTGATTATGCCAGGGACAAGCAGCTGATGCAGCGGGCCGCAGTCCAGCTCCGCAGCCTGCAGCAGACGTAGAAGTAGTCGCTGCAGGCCGTCTAGTAGAACTGACCCCGTCCGCATAACGCAGGATGCGTACTCAAACAGTGCGTAAAAGAGGTATCGTGCAAAGTGCACGCGACCCAACGAACTGCAGCCTTCGTTTGAGACCCTCGCGTCGTCCTCGTCGCCTGCGGCTGCTGAGAGTGTCGTTGCTGTGGTGGTTTGCTCCACATTTTCCCCAGTGGGCTTCACACGAACGTCGCCGTGGCCCGCTGCGGTGGGAGGCGGCACAAGCACCACCTCCACCAACGGGGCGAACACCGCACGCTGCATCACGAGTTGTCCAAGACTCACATCGGCGACGGGTACAACAGGACAGTCATTTGCGCCGCTTGCGGCTCGAACACCCGTCGACAAGGTTGTGCATGTGTCAAGAACATCCTGTAGCGTCACGCCGCCCCAACTGCGCCATGGCGGTGCACGCGGCAGTGGGCCCTCGGCGTCCTCGGCTGGCAGAAATTGTCGTAATGCTGCAGTGGAGCCCAGAAAACAGGCATCGTCACGCGCGTGCGGTAAGTTGGCGGAAACCACACCAAGGCATGAAGGATCACGTGTCCAACTCGAAGTCCGTGACTTCTTCTTCTCGTTGTCCTCCTGAGCGGTCTGCAGCAGCTGCTGTGTCGCGTGATGGGTGGCGATAGCCTCCAAGGCATGGGCCACGCAGTTGAGACATTCCTGCCTGCTGAGCATGGTGTGGAGCAGCGACTGAACCGCGTCCCCCGCACAGTGCAGTCGACGCAAGTAGAAGCGTACACGCTGCAAGGTATGTGGCATGGTGGCAGCAAAGGCAAACGGATTGACGCCCACCAGGTGCACAGACCCACGATGGCGGTCCAACAATAACGGCAGCGTGCCATAAACAAAGGCATGCGAGTACAACTCATTACTGTGCACTGTCGTAGATGAATTGGTATAAAGCGGTGGATGTGGCATGAGGGTGGCGCTAAGCAGTGGGTTCCGGAGAGGGAGGCCGGAGTCGTTGTTTCTGCTTCTACAACGGCAGCCATCACTGGCACTGCTGTGCCCATCACTGCCACGTAGTTCACTGGCGAGTCGCGTCATCCACGACGCCGGCCTCTCAACCTTCACACTGAGTCTACGGCAAAGGCCTCTGTTGCCGCCCCCAATGCTCTGAGAGGAAACGGCAGCCGTGCCGTGCTGTGACCCCCTCGTCGCAGAAGCGGCAGCCGCTGTTGTAGTGGTAGTCACAGTAAAAGATGCTATCTCTGTCGTTACGGCTTCCGATGCTGCCCCTGCGAACATGCGCTGTAAACCTTGCTCCTCCCCGCCAGAGACGATGTCAAATGCGCAGGAAAACCCATGCCGCAAGGCATGAAGGATGATGAGATTGTCAACCACCTGCAGAGCCACGGGCTCCCTTCGTGGATTTAGTGGGAATTCTGCACGCAGCAGCGCATGCAGCACAAAGCCTTCTTCGCTGCCGCTCCCGGCAGATAGGTAACGAAAGAGCGTCGCTCCGCCGTCGTGATGCGAGACGCTGCAAAGGAAGAGCTGACGGTACAGAACAAGCAGCCCAACAGGGTACTGCACGCGGGGCTTGTCCATGCACGCAGGCGAGACAAAGAGCGACACCGTCTCACGCTGCTCCTCCCCCACAGTGTCCCGGTCCCTGTCTCCGCCACAACTAGCATCTCCCTCCGGCAGACGCAATTCGGGCAACGGTCGCAGTCCATTCTCGTCCACCTCAAACGTTTTCAAAACATGTGGCTTCAATCGGTTGATGGAGAGAAACGCCCTGGCGGGGGGGCAGTAGTGCCAGTAGTCCGTGTGTGTCGGGAAGCGCCGCAGCAGCACGCACAGCTGTTCTTTCCGGCCTCGCGTGTCGTCCGTGCCGCACGGTAGCAGCGCCTCCTCCACGCCCACCACGTCGAGACTGATGGTGGTGATGCAGAGAAGGACCCGACGACAACTGGAAGAGGCGCTCGAGACAAAGTTCACGGGGGGTAATCGAGAGGAGCTGCCGTCCTGCGATTCCCGCTGTTCCCGTGGTGGCGCCGCCATGGGGCTTCCATGCGGCCCTGCAGAACGGCAGAAGGAGTTGTGGGCGTCGTGTAGCTCCTCCGCCCAGTAGTACGCTTGAATGGGGTAGAAGTCGTCGCGGAAGCGCAGGCTCCTTGGCGCGCACTGAAACGATGCCACGGCACACAGCGGCAAGGCTCCCGTGCCATCACGACACACGACGAAAAGGATACTGCGCGTGTCGACGCTGAGGGCCACAAGGTACGCCCGGCTGCCGCCACTGCCCTGCGTGGGGGTGGCCATGTTGCTGCTACGGCTGTGGAGCGGGATGGGGCAGCGCTTCGCGTAGCGAATACTGAGCGGCTCATCATCACCCCCGCTGCGCTTCACCGCCAGTGCCACGGCGTCGGCGGGGAGCGTGGGATGGTGGCGCATCCACGCCACGTCGTCGTCGTCGTCGCCGTCGTCCGCGGCAGCGGCTGCAGAGGCAGGCTGCGTCGCCCCGTCCTCTTCCTCTTTCCCCTCGCGCAGCCGAAGCTGGTAGAAGCACACCTGCTGGCCAGCCATGCAGAAGACGACGACGTCGTTCGCCACCTCGTCAATGTAGACACGAGTGACGCCCATCGCACCGTTACCGCCCGAACCACCAGCCGCAGGCACACGGAAGCGGAAGACGGGCCGTTGGAACACTACGAATGGCGGAACGGTGGAGACATCAGTCATTGTGCCTCTCCACCACCACCCGCCAGTCCTCCTCCTAGCAGGCGTGCACACGCGCAACTGTCGAGAAGGGGGAGGAGCGAGATAAAAAAAAAAGCGAAACTGAAGGGAATTTCCACTTCGCACGCTCCTTCAGATGGCAAGTGGGGGAGGGGGGGGGAGGGGGGGAAGAAAACAACGGTAATAATAATCAATAATAACAATAATGCATGGTCCTTATTTTTGCTTCTTTGTTTTGTTGTTGTTGTTTCCGTTTCTCTTTTCCGTATATTTTCTTGTCAAAACACGGCACACCCGCACACTTACTTCGTCTCCCTCCACCCACCCACCCACCCACTTTTTTTTTGCTGGGGAGAACGGGCGCCGTCGCGACTAGTAGCCGAGATCGCGGCGCAGGAACGACTTGGGGCTTGTCAGCCACGCCATGTCGTAGCTCTGCGCGGTCATGATGGAGTAGAGAAAGAGCATCGAGCACGTCGCCGGTGCCGTCATGGTATGAAAGAGAGTGTCAAAGACTACCGACGTCACAAAGATGGCGGTGAGGAGTGGGAAGGCAGCGTAGAAGCGGCCGACCATGAAGCAGCCGCAGCAGCAAAGAAACACCTGGAAGGCACCAGGGGTTCGCCACCTGACCCAGCTCCAGTACCGTGGCATCTCGTCCACGTTGCGCGCCATCCACTCCGGGAGGAACTTGTAGTAGAAGTACTGGGTGTCGCTGACAAGGTTGCGGTAGCGCCGGTCCAGCGTGGGGCTCTTTGTAATGATCTCGTAGGCCTTGTTGACTTGGTTGAGCCGCGGAATGTTGCCCACCCCCTTCGGGTCCAGCTCTGGGTGCAGCTCCCGCATCAGCTCGTGGTAGCGCAGCCGTATCGTCTGGGCGGAGGTACCCGGCTTCACCCCAAGCACCTCCCACGGATTGTACCCTGCGGCAGCCGTGGAACCCCCATCCCCGCCGCTGCCGCCACCCGCCGCCGTGGGTCGTGCCGCGTCACGCACAACGTCCTCCTCGCGGGGCTTCGGTGCGTGCCTGGATTGCTCAATGTCGGCCGGGACACTGCCGTAGGGGGCAGCGCCGCTAAAGCGACGGCGGGAGACGCCCCGCAGCCATATGGCGCCCCACAGCGTGGTCCCCTTCGCAGGCAGGACGCCGATGGCCGGCGGCAACCGTGCCGCTCGCCGCATGTTTCGCTACACACACACACACACACACACACACACACACGCTATCTATATATTTGTATCGTTCCCTTCCCTGCTTGCCTTTCTTCCTAGTGCTCCTTCGCAAGAGCCCCCTCCTCCCCACCCCCCTCCCCGTGCGTGGGCGAAAGGCAGGCAACAGCAACAGCAACAGCAGTAAACGCATCAGCCACACCTCCAGACACACGCAGCCTCACAACACAGGCGTGCCACACACACTCACTCACACACACACACACACATCGCCGCCGCTGCGACCACACTCCCGGCGTTTGTTTACGCGCACAGGGCAGGCGCTGTTGTCACGGAACACGCACCCACACACACTAAGAATGCCAACATGAATAACGAAAGGCCGACGACGCAGATGTCAAAAGTTTAAAACTCATTCGCTTCAAATAATATGTGTCCCGCACCATCGCTCCAACGATCCTCCTCTTTCCTCTTTCCTCTTTCCTCCGCGTTGTTGCCCTTCATACTCCTCTACAGCCGCTGCCCCCTTGCGCACCTCACCTCACCTCACACACATCGTCGCACGTTCCCTTTCACATCACAAAGGCCCAAAAGAGGAGGTGCAGAAGAAAATAGACCCCCACAATCACCTCCGGCACGAGACAGAGGAGCGTCGCCCAAAGCAGCGTGCATATCACCGCCCAGAGTCTCGTGGCCATGCTATAGAGAAACACCACGGCTACAAACAGTACCAGCGTCAGACCAGTCCTTGAGGGTGTCATGTCCCGCGTGCCGCCAACCGCCAATGCCCGGCGCAGCGGTGGTAGACGCGGAAACACGATATACCCCAGCAGCGCTGTACCGGCGTGATGCAGCAGCGCCGCCGGGTGCAGAATGCTGCCCCACGACCCCTGGCGCAGCCTGCCGTAGTAGGACACCAACCGTGGCTCTTCCATAACAAGCAGAGTGTGCGTGAGACTCACAATTGAGCACTGTGTGTCAGGCACCGCCGCCGTGGGTGGCACACAGACTCTCAGGAAGACCGAGGCATTCACTGCCAGCGCCCCACCGCTCCCGCGACTGTCGCGCAGGTAATCGTGCACCGTGTGCAGATGTCGGCGCCCGTAACGAGCAAAATCAGAAGCCATTATTGCATGTGCACGCTCTGCGGCTGTCGCGTTGACCCGAAACACAATCTCTGCGAGGCTACTCCGCCTGCTGCCCTGGTCCTCGCTCAGTAACTCCGCGAGTGGGACGGGGATACCGACAAGGATGGCGCTAGGACGCTTCGACAGCGGCACCTCACCGCCCAGGATGTCACGCAGACTGTACACAACCAACTCAAACTGCAGGTACGGAAGACCCCCGCGTTGCACACGCGGCGGCTGCCAGTGTCGCCAGAGGAGATGCAGCGCCGTCCACGCCGCCTTTGGGCAGAGCATGGAAAGGCGCCACTCCCGCGGCACCCGTGACGCCGCATAAAAAGGCACGCGCAGCGGCTCAACCAATGTGTTGTGGTCTACTGGCGGCGAAGCGGCGGGTGGAAAAAACCAAAGCCCTGTCAGGTCCCCGGCCATGAAGTACGTCGTGTCCGCCAGTAGACACCCGCGGCACTCCGTCGCAATGCCAGGCACCACAAAAAGGATCTCCTCAATGGTGCTGAAGGGGCGAATCGGTGGGAGATGATCATCGCTAAGCGCGTCGTCCGGCTGGTCGTCGTAAAGGTCATTCACGTCGGGTCGGTCCGCCGGGATGCGAACCCCCACAAAGGTGTTGTTGTAACGGTAGACGAACTGGTGCCGCCGCACGTTCTCCGGCCTGGTCATAATGGCAAAGAGGTAACTCACAAAGTCCGAGCGGTAAAGGCCGCCATGCCGCAAAAGAAGGTGATGGACACTGTCAAGGCGGTAGTGCTCCACGATGCTGAAGCTATTGATCAGCGCCACGTTGTGCGGCGCGCGACGACGGGCACCACCACCAGCAGCAGCAGCAGCAGTAACCCCGCTCACAAGCCCCGCAGCATCCGGTAGCGGTGATTGTAGCTGCGCAACGGCACCGGGCTCGTTGCATGTGTCAGAAAACGCAGGATGCGGCAAACGCATGCCAGCCTCATAATAATAATGCGCATCATCATCGTTGGCGGCGGCGTCCACCTCCTGCTCACCCACACGCTCGTGCCACAGGTCACCAATAAGCTCCACACCAAACTCAACCCCGTGACGTCGTACGTCCGCCTCACACATCAGCAGCGGTCGCCGGGGCGTCGGCTCCGACCACGACAACGATGGCGCCCCCGCCTCCCCAGGAGCAGGTGGTTTGCGGAGATGCAGTCGAGCCAACGTGGGGCGCACCTCCACAACAAACGACACGGACGTCTTCCCCTTTGTGTAGCTGTCCTCGGCGAGCACCCCGCGCAGTGTAATGCGAAGCAAACGTGGCAGGTACAACTTCTGCAGTAACTCGCTATCCTGCTGCTCGTCGTAGTCGGTGCGGCTTAACATCTGAAAGGTCGGACAGGGTGACAACTGCAGATACAAGTGTTTCCTCGTCGCGGGCGACGTGGCCACCCGCATCCCGGTCCACATTTGCTTCAGACAAGGCAAGAGACCCACCTCAAGGTTGGCGTCGGTAAGGCCTGTGCTGTTGGGGTTGTGCACCTCCTCCAGCAGAATGCGATCCGCAGGGGAGGCGTCCATGCCGGTAAACGTTGTCCCGCTCACGTTGACCTGAATCACAGGGATACCGCCCTCCACCTCACACTGTTTGATCGCCGCAGGGGTCGCCCCCACCACCGGTGGAACGTCCACCACCTCTACCCGACCAAACAGCACCAACGAGGCCACGTCGCCAGCTGCGGAGACGTTCGTCCCGCACAGTACATCTTTATGCACCGCCGTACGAAGGAAAAGGTTATGCGGCACCGTGAATGGGCCATATTGCGGCAGTGTCAAACGCACAGCAGCAACGTCCTCGTTTATGACGCCCTTGTAGAGCCGCAAGGCCCGCTCAAAGCGCTCCTCCAAAGTCGCCCTCGTCGATACGTCAAGCAACGTCGGTTGCTTCTTCTCTCCCCCATTCAGACGACGTGCCCGCTCAATCTCCTCCAGTTGACTCTTTGTGATGCGGCGACGTGCAAGCGCGGCCTGCAGATCTGTGCGCAGTCCCGTCACGTCGATGCCCTCCCGCGTCCAGCGGTACTCCCGTTGCAGCCCCTCCAGCTGCTGCTCAATCACGTCCAGCGTGACCAACCGCTGCTCCTTCGACGGCACACGATGAAGCTGACGGCGACGCAGGGTGGCCTCCGTGTCATCGAGCCGCGGCAGAAGATGGGCGAGAGAGACGAAAAGCGGCTCGCACGCCACCCGCTTCTCTCGCACAGCCTCAACGTATTCCAGCCACTCCCGCGCGGTACGCCCCTCGACGCCGTCCGGGCGGTTCACCTCTGTCCAAAAGTTTAGCACGTCAGCTCCGCGAACCGTCCCGCGGATGCATTTTGCAAGCAGGCTGTGGCGCTGCCGCTGGAGCCTCCCCAACGCAGGCGCCGTGTAGATGTAGCCGCCCATCTGCTTTGGCTGCGCGGTGTCGAGACGAAGCAGCACGACCGCAGCCCTGCCCTCGTCGCTCACGTCCAGCTCGGAGGTAACCGCGTCGGGGACCCCCAGCAGACTCAGCATAGGACTCATAGACTGTTCCTCGCGTTCCAGGCTAGCCGGGTTAAGAAACGGCAAAAATGGCACAATTTCACCACTGCGAAAGAGTGAATTACGCGTCAAACCCTCGTCACCCCACGTTGTTGCCCCATCAATGATTTCACTTGTCATAAAGTCACCGCCGTGCACACATACACGCGAGGAGCCGAGTTGCTCCTGTGCCAGGAATATGTGATGCAAAACTTCCTTCGGGTGCAAGTGCCTCGTGGCGGTCACTGTGAAGGAGACGCAGCGCCGTGTGGCATCCGCGCGCACTTCAGACCACCGTGTGGTGCGTGCAACCCACCACGGCAGCGAGCACCCCCGCGCCACAAGCCGAGCTGCGCCGGCCTTCACAATTGCCTCAAACGAGGCAGCATCAACAAGGCGGGCCCCGAACGAGGTGGTGGAGGAGAACAAAAGCCCCCTGCTTCGTGCACCTTCGGCATGCAGGCAGATGGAAATTTGTCCGTGTCCGGAGTATGCGTCGCACTCGTGGCTAAGTGTTGTGTTTGCGGATAGAAAGGCCGATACTCGCTCAATTTCAAACTCTTGCCGCCGCATATACGGGCATCGCTTTGTCAGCATCGGGCCAAACACACGAAGGGAAGGATGAAGCTCGTACCGCAGGTGTGTAGGGCCGATGGGGAGGTTTGTCACAGTCACGACTTGGTACCCCATGCGTTCACGGCTGGGCACGCCGCTCTTGTTCGCCACAGCATCAACACGAAGCCGTGGGCCACGCAGCGGCAGCGAACTGGATGACGCCCCCGTCTCCACCAGCGCCCACTGCAAGGTAGAGGTGGTGGCAAGGATGTGAACACTGTGTGAAAGTGTCACGAGACGGTTCGAGTGCAGGTTCTCTGTCAAAACAAGCAGACGCACCGTTGCGTAGTCCACCAGGACACGCCGCCGCTGCGCCGGTGCCTCGTCATTCTCCTGCACGCTGGAACCTGTGGAGGCCGCGGCGTAAACGGCCCATCGAACCGTAACAACGCCAAACGGGAGTCCGTGCACCACAGTGCGTGACCGCCGGCCGTGGTCAAAGCGGATGCCGGTGAAGTTGGCGCCACTGGTCCACGTCTCGGTCTCCGACGTCTGCAGCGACACCACCTCCCATTGACCAAAGAACTCACACTCAATTTCGCGCGGGATGGGTACGGCCTTAAGCACCGCAGTGTCGCCACACACCGTCATCTCCTCCTCAAGAACCCGCGCGTGCACCACATGCAACGTCTCCGTGACGCTCGCGTTTGGGCAGGCGCCTGGGTACACAGGGTCAGGGTGCGTGTAGCCAAACGTGTACAGGCCAGGTACGCGGATGCCTGACACCAAGACGGTGGCGTCCCCAAATCCCCGCTCAAGCGCGCGCGGGTGCCGTGGAAGAGGGAAAAAATGAATAGCGTCCAGCAGCCGTTGGGTGCCCACCGGCGACGGAACCGCCGATACGACGCTAATGGCGGCCCAGTTCGAGGTCCGGCCCTCGACGGCGGCATCAACGTGGAGAATAACTTTTTTCCCAACAACCCACCGTGTCCGTGGTATTCGAGGAGGGGCGGGGTCGAGGCTGCCGCCGTTGGTATCTGCGACAGTTGCCGGCTTGGGGCGTGCCGTGCCGTTTGCGAAGCACTCCCCCATCGCGGCGTTGTCGCTCAGAATCGCAAACGCCGGCGGCAACGGCGTCGGATACACGCGTCGAAGCATAAACGTGTCTGTCCGCACAGTCTCCGTCAGGGTGTTCCGCACCGTCAGATGGCACCGTGTCTCGTTAGCGGGTCCGCTGTGGCGCAAAACGGAGGATGTCGGGGTGTGACGCTCCACCGTAATCGCACCTCCATCGCACGCCCACGTGAAGTCAAAGTGGTACTTAGTGTGCAACCACGGGTGGCGCGAGAAGACAAAGGACGGGTAGCAGAATGGAAGCGTCCCCGCCTCCGCTGCCGGCACCACGCCGAATGGGCTGACCGCAAAGACGGAGATGTTGCCAGGCTGCGGGACGCAAAGGCCACGCCGCTCAAACTCCGCCGCCCCCCGGCTTGGGCCCACCGCCGTCGGTGAGGATCGAACCTCGTACAGGAGCGGGTAGTGGGAGCTGTTGCCGAGGCCGTCAAACCGCATTTGTCGCGGCGCGGAACGATGTGTAAACGCAAAGCGAGCGTCCAAGAGAAGATCAAAGGCGTTGTCGCGCTCTCGTGACTCGTGGGCCTTCTGCCGCTCCCAGTCCACAGCATGCGCCGTATCCGCGTTATTGTACAGGACGATGTCCTTGTCCTTATCCACAAGGTTAGTATTACGATTATGATTATTAACATAACTCTTATGCTCCGCATCCTGCTTGTTAGCAGCGTCGTCATCGGCTGTAGGTCGAACGGAGCGGCGGATGAGTAACGGCGCGGCGGCGGCGGCAGCAGCAGCCTCATCGTTCAGACTTTCATCACCCACACGTTCAAAGTGTCGCTGCGTGACCCCCAGCTGGTGTGCGGCGTTATGGAGGTAACTGAAGCTGACGTCAAAGTCCTGCTGCGGGCCAGAGTAGTTGAAGGAGTAGCCCACCGTCGCACTATCACCCGCAATGGGAACGACACGCCGAGCTGTAAAGCGTGGCGGGTGCGGCGCCCTGCTCCCATCCTCCACGTCTCTGTCACCGGCAGCACCCATACGGGTGTCGTCATCGTCTTCATCTTCATCGAGCCACTCAACGGACGGCAGCGCGTACACAATGCTAGGAATATCGCGCAGTTGCTGCCGGCCGTCCTTGTGCAGCAGCAACTGCGGGGGGCGTTGACAGCGGCGCAGGGAGAAGGTCTGTGTGACGGCCCCGACAAGGTTCCGCGCTGTCCAAACGGCATCGCACCAGCTGTATACCGCAATCCCGCACACCTGCACCTCCTCCACTTCAGCCTCCTCCGCTAGGGCCAAGGTGCTGTGTTGTTCCGCATGCCGTCGTCGCCGCTCCGGCTCCACAAGGTACGGTGGCGCCTGCGTCGCCTCCGCGCAGCGAGGAATGTGCCAGCGGACAACCTCGTCCTTCCGCGAGGGACGCGGTGCTGACAGACGAACGCAGCTGTCCTCTGTGTAGACAGGCACGAGGGCCGGCGCAATGGGCGGAGCCGCAAGAGCCACCACCGTCACCGCGTGTTCCACTATCCGGGGAGGGCAGCGGGAGGTGTACGGCACGCCGAGGTCAATCGCCTCACCAGGGTCCTCAGCCATAAACCGCAAGGTCCCCTCCCGCAGCTGCTGCCGCACATTTGGCACACCCGTCGTGTCAAGCTCAGCGACAAAGGCGTCATCCACGGTGAGCAGCCGCAGCGGTGCGGCGACAAGCCAGTGGCCGATGGGCGTGTCACCCGCTGCAACCTCCAGCGACCGGGGTGGATAAACCTTCAACCGGCGCAGACTCATCGCCAGCGTGACGTTCACGCGTCTCGGCAGCGTCGAGAGGCGACGCAGCACCACAGCGGGGCGGGAGCGCAGCTCCACGACCACCACATCCGCCTCCTCGCTGGTGAGGATGCGGGCTACCGACGCGTCCAGGTTCTCCGGCGGCAACAACGCCGTGTCGTTCACCTCAAATTGTACCACCCACGTCAAATCCGCCACACCGCGTTTTCGCATTTGCAAAACCCCGCTCACCCCGCCACTGGCGAAGCTGGTGTGGATGTGGCACTGTCCCGCACCGCGTTCTTTGCATTCAAACCGCCCCTCCAAGGTATTTTGCTCTCGCAACGGTCCACGCGCGATCTGGTGGAAGCGCACGGAATCCAGCAGAGAAGCGCGCACGCGCGCCACCACACCTTTCAAGGTTAATGCCTCAACAGGAATGTCATCTTCACATGCCGTCAGCGGGGAAGTGGACGGCTGCAACAAAATGCCCTGAAGGGCCCATACCTCATGCACCTCCAACAGCACTGGGTCACAGAGTCCATCCGCGTCGCGTACGTAGTAGGAGATGTTGTTACGGCCCACAAACACGGGAAATGATGCGGTGTCCTCTGTGTATGGGTTGTGCAAAACCCGCCGCATCGTCTGCGGTAGCGGTTGGTCCTCGAGTGGGGTATTCTCCCAGTATCCAACGTAGTGGGCCGGCATGTGCTGCGGTGACAGTGCAGCTCGCAGCTCTGCATGGCTGCGTGTGCGCTGCGAGACTCGTAGATGCCTCTCAAAGCCAAAGTGTATCTGTGGCGCCATCTGCTCCACCTCCCAACGTCTATCGAACGGTAGACGCAACAAATAAAAATAGGAGTTTGTTTGCACGGCTGTCCCGCGAGACACCGTGACTTTCACCTCGTACTTGTGGTGGGGAAGCACTTCAACGTAGCTGCTGTTGGCGTGATGCCGCCGCAACATTCCAGCGTCGTCTGTCACCGTTGGCACGTGAAACGACTCCTCGAGGGCGATGTCACCGGTGCCCGCGTCCGTCACCACCCAGTGAACCCTTGTCGCCGGAAGTAGTGCGGGTGACACGGCAAACGAAGCAGCCCAGGCCCCCCCACGCAGCTGTGCAAAGTTCCTCCCAGAAGAATCTGGTGGCATGCCGCACATCGGACCCGCACACAGGATCTTCACCGGCGGAAGCGTATCGCGTCTTACCTGCAGCATCGGCATCACCAGCAGAGTATGCGGGCACTTGCACTTGATCGCCACGTTCGCAATCTTGAGGTGAATGTCGGCGGGGGCGGCAGGCACGAAATCCTCCGCAGCGTGGTAGAGCGGGATGCGAAGGATACCATCGCCCACTGCTCCAGAAACAAGGAGAATGACGTCGCCATCGCCATCGTTCTGGCGTCGGGCATCCTCCTCTGTCGGCACATACGTCGCATTGTAGCGGCGCCGCAGCACCGTGTCCACGATGGTGACCCGCTCACGCGGAAACATTCTGCGCTTCTCTGCCGTCGTCAGCACCTGAAACGGGGACGCCTGCAGCAGGACATGAAGAAAGGTGTCGTATAGGGCCTCGTCTCGCAGCAGGGTGCCGTTGTATTTGTATCCGCAGCAGAGACTCATCTTTAGAGTCAAGTTCGACGTCGTCAGGAAGCTGGACGGGGTGAGGACGTCGCTTACGGTAAAGCTCCCGGAGGCCCACACCATGGAGGAGTGCGGACAGCCATGGTCCATGCTGCACGGGGAAGCGTCATCCATAAGATGCGCGGGAACAGCAGCATGCGACCGCCGCGGCGCATTCAGCTCGGCAAGTGTCGGCAGCGACGTCGCCAACGTGCCGTTGTGTGTGTCTGGTGTCATCGCCACAGCCAGTGTGCAGCCCAAGCAGGAAAGAAGTATCAAGCAGGCCACTGCCATCCATGTCAACAGCGGCCTCCGTTGGCGTGAAGACCGCGGATGCCGCCTCCCGCACAGGCGGGACATCGGTCTATTCTATACGCACGCACACAGTCTCACTGCCTTTATCGCCTACGTCAATCCTTCTGTTGCTTTTGTTGTTGTTGTTCTTTTCCCTCCTTTCTCTTTTTCTCTTATTCTCTAAGTGTGTCTGTGCCTTTTTTGGCTTAACGAGAGTTATTCTAAGGTCCCCCCACCGCACACACACACACACGCACTGAAACAAATCCCCTTTCCGCCCCCTCACAAGTGTGTGTGTGTGTGTGTGTGTGTGTGTGTCATGCATAAAAGAGAAAAAAAAAAAAGAGGCGAGAAGGACATTGCGGTCAGATGCACGTGTGTGCTTGCTGCTTTTTCGCGGCACACGAAGAGAAAACAACAAGGGAGGAAAGAAAACGTCCCGACGCGCGCGTGGGAGTCATGTAATGCGGTCCACGGGAGTCCCTCCCCCACCCCCGCTCCGCTAGCGTCGTGTAGAGGGATAAGCTAAGAAAGGCGGCGGAAGAGGGAAGACATTGAAAAAAAAAGAAAAAAAAAGACGGAAGCAAACAAACAGAAAAAAAGAAAAAAAACGTGAAATACACAGATTACAGAGTGTACCGCCCATTTTCCTGCCACCCTGCCGCTGCTAGTGGTGACTGTGATGGCCCCAGTGTAGCGCAAGGCTAAGACCAAGCCTCCCACGTATGTATGCGCATCCAACGGCCGAAGCAGCAGAGAAGACATGCCACAAACGAAACACGTATAGGCAGAAAGATAGGCACACATATATGCATACATGCATATTATATATATATATATATATATATATAATATGCATGTATGTCAGTCGGGACACAAGGCGAGAGAGTGACAGTGAAAGAAAAGACGCATATTTGCACAGGACGCAAGAAGCACGAAATATATAAACACAACATTCAAGCCTCTTCTTCTTGTTTGTTGTTGTTTTGTTTTTGTTTTTGTTTTTGTTTTTTTTTTTTTTTTCACCCACTTTATAATGAGCCCCCCCACCCCACCCCACCCCACACACGCACACACATACATCGTACTCCACTGGAGTGGTTGCCTTACGTCCCTCGCATGACAAACAAAATGAAGACAGGAAGCCGCAGACGACGACGCCCTTCCACCCACCCCCCACCCCTTCAGCGCTCAGCGGCCCGCATCCCACCTTCGTTGGCTGCCGTTTGCGGGTCACACCGTGACGCCGCCGCGGCAAACGGGGGGGAGGGGGGAGGGGGGAGGGGGAGGGGGAGGGGGGAGGGCGTTATTAACAAAATACAACGCCAAGAAAAAAAAAAAGAAGAAAAAGAAAAAAAGAAAAAAAGAACAAGAAGATGAAAGAGAAGAAATAATTATTTATTTATTTTATTTCTTGTAAATGTAAGGCGGGTCAGAGGATAAAATAAAAACTTGAGGAAGATGAACCTTCGGCCTTCGTCTTGGGGTGTTGTTGCCGCAGCTGCAGCCGCACAAACACACACGCACGCACACGCACTCCAATTCGGGTGGGAATTCGTCATATACCCCCACTCGCTTCATCCATCACCTCATGCAGCCGGTTATCCGCACAAGTGATCCATTCGTGCTCCAGTAGCTCCTCAGCCGTCGCCCGCGTGTGCGGGTCACGGTCAAAGCATCGCGTAAAAAAAAAGTATAGGCTCTCAGGGCAATTCTTCGGCACTCCAGTTGGCATTGCCGTGCTCTTCGAGATGTGGTACATGATCTGAAAAGCATTTAAATTGTTCTTTACCACCCACGGCTGGCGTCCGAGCATCTCAAGTACTAGGCAGCCCACAGACCACACATCCGCCGGCTTGGAGTAGCCACCCGCACCGCTGAGCACCTCAGGTGCCATGAAAAGCGGGGTTCCAACCATGGTTTGATAGCCAACGCTCTTTTCCCCAATGTTCTCCTGATGCATCGTCGCCGTGCCGAGGCGTTTGCTACAACCAAAGTCGGCAAGTTTAGCATCACCAAGCGCCGAGATGAGAACATTGTCGCCCTTCAGGTCTCTGTGAACAACATTCATGCCATGCAGGTAAGCCAAACCCTCCAAAATCTGTTTTGCGTAGGTGCGAACAAGTGAGATGGAGAAACGCTCCTTCGCCCGTTCAAACTTGCGACGGAGGTGTGTCAAGCTGCCCCCATGGCAGTGCTCGAGGAAGATTTCCAGCTGTCTAGCCCCATTAGAGAGGATTCTTGTCTGGCAACCATAGTACGCAACAATGTTTTTGTGTTTTAACGATCGCATTAGATTAATCTCGCGTTGAATGCTTTCCACCTCCCCGGCGTCATCGTTGAGTGGGACTTCCACCACCTTCACCGCCATGATCTTCCCCTCGCTCGTGATACCCTCGTAGACGGCTCCAAAGGAGCCCCTGCCGAGGAGACCCATCTTACTCCATTGAACCTCCTCGTCTTCGCGGAAGCCTATTGTTTGCGCAAAACGTGTCGTGGAGCCCAAGTTCGCGGAGCGGCTGCTGTCGCCCACCGTGAGGAGCTCCGTGGGGCCGGGGCTTGTAAACTCAGCCACTGAATCGTCCCCCTTGATACTCGTCACTTGCCGCCCGTAGGACAATTGCAATTGTTGTGACGGCAATACCAACGGTGGTGCCTGGCCTTGCCCCTGCGCAAGCGGGATCTGCATGCGTCGCTGCTCCTCCTCCTGCTTTCGCGCTCTGTAAGAGTCGCGCACATACAGGCGAAGCACCGAGCTGCTACTACGCTCCCCCTCCTCCGCAACTGTGTTCAACGGCGTGACGCGAAAAGAGTGACGGGCGAGGGAAGAGCTTCCGCGAAGTGCCCCTCGTACAGAAAACCGATTTGAGGCCCTCGCAACTGGTTCTTCCGCCGCATCTGCCGCATCTTTTTGCCTCTCCTGTTGGAGCCCATGCACAAACTGTACAAGGAGGTTTTTGAAGTCGCGCGGAACGTCAATGTCGACGTGGTCGCCCGCGGTGTCAATGCAGTACATTTCAAAATCACGAAGACAGGCGTAGCCAAAGCGCCGTTTGACGTCCTTAGTAAAGACCCTAAACTTCGTCCTCCGCGTGACGTAGATGACCTTCACGTTACGGTCGCCCTCGCGAGAAATCTTGACAGTAATTTGCTCCTCCTCCCGCCGCCCCCTGCGAGTGCCGATTTCGTCCTCGTCATCCTCGTCATCCTCCTCATCCTCCTCATCCTCGCTCTCATCGTCATCGTCGTCGTCATCGTCGTCATATTCTTCCTCGTCCTCCTCCTCCTCCTCCTCGTCCTCGTCCTCGTCTTCGTCCTCGTCCTCGTCCTCGTCCTCACTCTCGGCGGCCCTCTTGCATAGTTTCCTCCCCGCCTCAACTGCACCCACAGTGCGTCGCTGAACGCTGAGGGCCTCCGTGCCGCCCCTCATCTGTCTGGGGGATGACTTGCCATCCAGCAGGCGTCTTGCATCGCCATTTTGGCTAGCGACGCCCGCACCACCACTCTTGATGCTGCACGAAGCGGCACCGCGGGTTTGTCCACTTGCGTTATCGCTGCCACACACCAAACTCCGTACGTGAGGCAGCGAGAGCGGTCGCAGTGGCGTCTTGATGCATGAAGACGACATCATCGCGCCACCTTGGGTCCGTTCCAAGTCCTCAACCACGGGCACGATGGAGTCAAGTGCAGGATGTAAGGCCCCCGCCACGCCAACGTCCCCCGGGGGTGACAGCCGCATTGGCAGTGACAGCAGCCCCGGAACCTTCGCAGCCTCTACGGGCTCTTTATTTTTCACTTTGCTTGCCCCGGGCTTCTCGGGGCCCTTTTTGGGCTGCTGCGGCTTTGTGACTGTTGGCCGCTTCGGTTTTTGTGCCGTGCTGCCGCGGGAGCCCATCGCGGGTGTGGCATGTGCCGCAGGTGTGGACTTATTCTTGCCGGGCTCCCCACTCCCTTTCTGATTACTGCTATCCCGCCCCGCATAGGTCGGATACCTCGCTGTCGTCTTTCCATTAACCATGGCTGCTGCTGCTATTGTTGTACTATCGTCAGTGCTGGTTGTTGTTGTTTGCTTGTGTGTTTTTGTTTTTCTGTTGCGTTCTTCCTTCATACCCACACACACGGAGGTGGACCCGGCACTCTACCCGGGGTCAAGTATGTGCGGTAGAGAACTGCAGAAAAAAAAAAAAAGAGTGAGAGAAAGGGAGAAGGATGAAGATGAAGGGGGAACCCAACAGGGAAAGCAGAGCTTATATGGCTGCCACAGCGGCGGATGTAGCGTCATGTACGCCCAGCTGCACACATGGTGCGTCACAGTGGAGGCAGGCGATGGAAACCACAAGCTGAAAGCACCTGCAAAACAAAACATGCTGGAGTCATGCGCTTGCGGAGGACGTTCCTCGCCTCCGGCCAAACAAGACAAAAAACAGAAGAAAAAGAGAAAAAACGAAACAAACAAACAAACAAAACAAAAAAAAAATAGCGAATGAGTTCAGCATTCACTTCTTGCATACACGTCGTGAGGTGCGGCGGTGAGGGGCAAGCAGGTCAAAATAATTATGCGCGAGGAATAAAAGCAATGACCCAAGAAACATACACCACAGAGATTTACTGGGTCTTTGCTGTTGCCGTATTCTTCCTCTCCCTCTTCTCTTTAGTTCTTTTCGCTGCTCTACTTTATGCCTCCCCCATGCAAACAAACATTGAAACAAAATTTCTTCTACACCGTCAAGATGCGATTGCATCTGGGCATCTAAGTCTAGAAACAGGTACACGTAGAATTGAGAATACAAGGGGAGGAGAGTGTGCAGTCTGGGTGCTGAGACACATACGGCTCCTGCATCCTACAGCGGCAACGCCTCTTCCCCACCCATCTCCTTTTCTTTTATGTAGACAAATACAGATATGTAGTTGTTTTTGAGGGAGCTAAGCTTGAAGTTTCTTGGTGGTGATGTGGTGTCAAATGTCACTCCTGCCAAGTCGGCACGGGCACCTCTGTTGGTTGCGCCGTGGCAAGACTCACCGCGGCCGCCGCATCCTGCTTCCCCACATCGCGCGGCTCCACATTCACCTGCGACAATAAGCGGCTCCGCAGGGAGGGCGGACACCTTTCCAGTGGTGCCTGATCAGCTACATCTTTGCAGGTCGCCGGCGTCAACACAGCAGGATCTTCCTCCTCTTTCGCATCTGCCGCGCCTGTCACCTGGCTGTTGGCAGGAGACAGAACCGACGCCGAAATAGACCCCCACCCCAGATTCATCTCGAGCACTGTCCCCTCCATCATCGTCATCGAATGAGAGCCGCAGGAGATGCCGCCCTCCTCGCCGACACTGAAGCCAAGCCCTCTGACATCGCAGCGGGAAGGGGACAGACTCTTCTTCTCAGCACCATTACACTCAGCGTCACCGTCCTTATCACCTACAACGATGCTGGCAGGAGCAGAGGCAAGGTCATTGCTGCTCTGTTCAAGTGGTTGCAGACCCAGGCCTAAAGGCACCCACCCTGACGCCTCAGCCGCTGGCACATCGGGTTCATGGCCAAGCGGCAGCCACGGCTCAAATACACCGGTGTCAGGCACTGATGCCACGGGTGGCATCTGACATTTTGCCATGGATGCCATGTCGAGTGGGTCCGCATAAGCGTGGCCTATCACGGAGGTACGCAGTGCGTTCCCACCACTGCCTCCCATCACACCACGCGAGAATGGCAGGCCGCTTCCAGGGGCGAAGGATGACCGTCTTTTACAGAAGGCGGAGACAAACTGTGAACCAGACATGGGGGTGCCTCGGTTGGTTCGGTGTGGCTTCGGCTGATGCAGCGCTGAAGTGACAACCGGTGTCGCACGCGTCGGTGTTGTGGATTTCAGGGAGCCGTCAAACACCAACGGAGACCCCTTTGGGAGATCCGAAGGGATCCGACATGTAACCGGTGGGCGAAACGACATGCTGTTAGACATCCCAGATAAATTCATCTGACGCGGCGCGTCCCCCGTCGAACAGACTGAAGATTGGGGCCGCGAGGGACTCGCCTCACGCTGGGGCGTCCTGTCGCCGTCACTGACGGAAGCCGCCACGTTGCGCTCCGAGTTGGACGCCTCAGGTGGCGCCCCCGAATCGGTTTGCACAGGGTACTGCTTGAGTTGGTCGGCATGCTGGTCGGCTGGCGTCGCCGTGTCCGACGCCGCTCCTGAAGTAATCATCGGCATCGGGCTCCCACCCGCCACGTTGGAGGCAGGCAGCTGCACAAGCTGCACCCGCCTCCACGGACTGGGGCCGTCGTTAATGGAATTTGCCAGTGAAACCGTGATGCTCGGGACGTCCGTGCAGTCTTGGTTCTTCTGGGTGCTGCTGCCGCTGTTACTCTTGTTGATCGTGTCTAGGGGTGCGGGGGGCGCAGCGCAGGGGGCAACGACAGATGACGACATGGTGTGAAGTCGCCGCTGGGTGCTTTGGCTCAGCAGAACCGTCTCTCCCAGCATGCTGCCCTCAAGGCAGGTGGAGACGCTGCCGGCACCGCAGTGAAACATGGACACTGCCGCGGAACTCCGCATACGGCTCTCCTCAATTGCCGCGTCATCCCACGGCGAGGCATCCTCCACATCGGCACGCGCTGGCCGTGAAGAGGTGGCGGGAGATGACGCCGGTGCGGGAAGCGGGGGCGGGGATTCCGTCACCTGCATGTCGCTTGTGAAGGCCGTGGGATCGCCCGCGACAGCAGCATCGCCGCACTCCCTTGTGGGGCTCTCTGCACCCATTGCCTGGCGTAGTGTGGGATATAAAGCGAGAACGACGCCACAGAACGCAACGGCGGTGTTGTTGGTGGTGCTGACGCCGGTTAAACAGCAGCAAGCAATGCAAAAAAAAAAACACTCTATAGGCCTTTTAGCGTCTTTGCATAGAGGAACAATGAAGTCCGCCCGCAACGTAGGCCGCGTAAACACACGCACAGAAGGAGTGAGGAATAAAAAAGGCGGGAGCGATGTTCATTGGACACATACACACACACAAAGAGAGAGAGAGAGAGACGCACGCAGGTAGGGATGCAGATTACAGGCATATTCATTGCTCAATGGAAAAAGGGGGTCGAAAGAGCGGTACACAAATTCTTCCCCCAATCCCCACCCCCTCGGCTTCTATCACAGCCTTTTACTCGCACAACCAGGAAATGCGTGTCTATTTGCCCATGTGTGCGAAAGGGCCGAAAAACACTTAGGTACCCACACACACAGACACACATACATGCACGCGCCACTGCCACTGCTGCTGCTACTACGAAAAGCTGCGGCGTCAAGAACAGCTTCAGCAGGGTAGACAGGAGGAAAAGCAAAAACAAGAACAAAAAAAAAAGGTATAACAAATCATCGAATAATTAGTAGTTTGCATTACTAATTAACAGCACGAGTGACTTCTCATTCTTCTTCGCTTGCTTCCCCGTCTTTTCCCACAAAAGCACACAGAGAGAGAGAGAAAGAAAGAAAGAGAAGAGCGGGAGAGGTCACGCCTACATTACATACATACAGATACTCCAGCTGGGAAGCGTCCATCTATACATGCGTGCATGCATAGCGCCCGCAGCCCCGGCGCGTTGGTTCTGCCTCGTTCCGTGGAAAAATAAAAGCAAAAAGTCCGGGGTCGTTTACCTGCGTCCTTGCGAGGGCACCATTCTAGCAACAGGGAGTCCGCCACCAGCGGAGTTAAATAAGGCGAGCAAGCAAGAGAGAGGCGGCGCGTAACAAGCAGAGGGGCGTAGAAGCTATCAAATACACCAAAAAAGGAAGCGTAAGGCAGAGTAAAATACACCTCAAAAACAAAAAGAACCTCGAGAGGAGGCAGAGAGAAGACCAGCGGCAATGACTGCAGCAAGACGGTGAGGAGGGAGAAAGGAAAGGAAAGGAGGGGATTCATCCAGCGACCCTCACTCGCCTACTCAAGAGGCAGCTGTCGCCTGGCTCGCTCGGCAAAAACCTCCACCAGGGCCATACTCCGCTCCTGAAGCGGCAGCGAGGCATCCTGCACGTCACCCCCTCCATCCACGTCGTCCTCGTAGTCTGAGGCAGAGAGTACCGGCAGCACCCCCGGCGCTGGTGTGCCCCACGAAGCCATGGCCTCCGCCACCTCCTTGGCGCGTCGCTCCATGAGGGCTGCCCCCAGCGAGTCCTCCTGCATGGATGCCAGGCACGGCGAGTCTGCGGTGCGCCCAGACGCGGAAATGCCGTTCACCAAGGAGGACATCTTCCACGTCAGCGGTGTCACACACCCTGCGCCAAGGCTAAAGGAGGAGGTACAGGAAGGGCACCGTGAGCAGCTCCCGGAGCGGCAGACGATGTCCTCATCGAAATCAGTGGCGGTGTCGCACTGTACGTCACTCCAGAGGGGCTGCAGAAGGCTGCGACACGGACGGTCCAGCCGCGGCATGGCGTAGGGTTTTTGCGGAAGCGGCGAGGTTGTGCGGGAGGCCGCGGTAAACGTTGTGGCAAGCGACTCCTGGCGAGTGATGGCGAGTGAAAAAAAGTGAGATACCCCATCCGGAAGCGAGGACGAAGTCATTGAGTCCCGGCACGAGACGGGGACGCTGTGTATGGCCTCACCTCCCTCCTTCGCCTCCACGGGAGGCGTTGGGCAGGCAGGGCGAGGAAGCAGCCGCTGCACCTCCCCCCACCGCGCGGGACGTGTGTGGACGTCCATCTACGTGCGCGACTCTACGTATCTCTCTTTCTCTGCTGTATGCGCCCTGCACACGCAGCTGCCTGCCTGCCTGTTTGCGTGTCCGGCAACCCAACAAAGCGGCCCACGCACACACACAACAAAAAAACGAGAAGACAAGAAAAGGGAAGGCAGCCCTTGTTTCAGTATTTCTTTCTTTCCTATGGCCTCTATTCTTCAGTCCTACAGATAGCACTAATAACGAGGGAGAGAGCAGCCAGCCAGCAGAGTGAGACGCACGCAGGAAGACAAAAGTAAAAACGTGACGCGTGCCACAACCCGGCGAGGTGAAAATTTCCCGCATAAACTTCCATGCATTCCACCATCTTGTGTTTCTTTATTTTTTTATTTTTCTTCTCTCGTATTTCTCGCTGCCTTCTTTTGTCTCGCCTGATCTGGTTTTCCCACACAGACGCACACCGTGTACGCCCACATTCATGCGTCCTTATATGCACTGCTAGCCAAGCAGTTGCGCGTGTATGCATGCGGAAAGAGAGGCACGTAAGTAAAGAGAAGGAGGAGGAAAGTCAAAGAGAAGTAACGGAAGCAGCGAACCACGAATGACTATGCGTCCGGAGTCCCCCACCACGGAGGCTCGGATTTCTCGCCCACACAGCTACAAACAAAGCAAGCCCAAAAGAGACACGATTGTGTGGTCGCCCCCCGGGCTCCCAGTCTCCTCTCCCAAAGCGGCCGTCTGCAGATGGATGAAAGAAGAAAGAAGGAAGGAGCCACACAACCACCAAACACCCTCCCCCGTGTAGAGGGTGTTATTATTGTTATTATTAGCAGTAGTAGTAGTAGTGGTTGTGGTTGTAAAGCGAGTTGAGGCGGGAGGATGAAGAAAAATACAAGAAAAAACGAAATGCAGGTAACTCATACAGTCACAAACGCCCAAAAAAATGCAAAAGCACAAACCATGCATATATGTATGTTATGTATATATGTGTGTACGCATCAATAGGTATAAAACATGATTGGAAGAGGTCGAAGAGGGGGATGATTTATGTCTATATATATATATATATATATGTCAACTACCAAAAGTCTACGGGAGCTGCATTACCCTTCAAGGGAGAGAGAGATATGTCAAGCCATCAAAGCTTGACCCGACAGCGGCAATGGCGATGAAGAGAAAGGGGAAGAATAAAAAAAAAAAAAGAAGAGAGAGAGAGAGAGAGGGAGGGAGGTGAAAAAAAAAAAGAGGGCGGGGAGGGATACGTAGAGCCCCGCTGCAGAGCGGCATTCATACTGCGTGCAGCTGTGATCCCTATTGAATGAGCTGCGCCCACCATGTCGCATCCTGAAGGCGTGTGATGGCGTGCGCCTGGACCCCCGAGGACAGCGCCCCCTCCGTCTCCTCCGTGCTCCGGTTGGAACAAATATTGTCGTTCACAGTTGTGTGGCTGCGCACTCCATCAGCTTACTTGTCGGGGTTCAAGCCGCAGGACACATTCGCGGTCGTCGCACCTCCCGCAACGGCGCCTTGGCCGTTGACGTTGACGTTGAGCTGAACGCAGGACCGCCCGCCTCAGCTGCCACCGGCGTCATGACGCTTGACGCCCAGGGCCCTTTGACGGCGCTGCCGCTCCCTCTCCCCCCACTGGCGGACTCCACCAGGCTCCTACTGGCGCTTGAGACACATAAAAAGGGTATGCATCCTTCCCCCTTCTTTTCCGTTGCGGTGCCGCGGTCACTCACTGCCACCACCCCGCCGGTGCCATTCTCGCCGTCAACGTCACTGTCCCTTCCCTCCAGCAAAAAGAGCTTTAGACTAGTGCCTGGATACGTGCTGTGCACCGCCCCGTCCACGCTCAGGAGGAGGCTGTGGAGATGCGACACCCGGTCATTGTATCCCCCTGCTGCGCCCAACTGAACTCGCGGGTTGTGAAGGAAGACTACAGGGGCAGGAGCGTCACAGAGAGGCACCCATTTTTTGTTCCATGGAGCACAAAAGAGGCAGGAGGACTCGAAACGCACAGGCTGTGGCGGCTCTATGCAAACAAAAGCGGGGAGGAGACGGTGGTGTTCGACACACACACCGACACGAGCTCCTCGCTGTTCAAGGTGCAGCTCTTGCTCCGCCTCATCGTGTGGACCCACTCGCCGCTCGATGATACCACAGCTCCGTCCCTGTTTCTTTGCTGTTTCCCTTGCGTCCACGACGGCTGCGGGGTGGAAGACCCCGCGGCTGCAAAACCAACGATGGGTGTTGGAGCCTCTTCCAAGACGCCGCCCACGGACACGGGTCCCTTCACCCCCTTGTCTACGGCCGCCGCCTCTTCCCCCGTCACGACCCTCTCCATTGTGGATTCCACGCGCACCACTATTGTCAACGACAACGACGTCAACGACAACGGCGATACGGCGGAGAAGGCCGCCGCGCTGCCGCTGCCGCCGCTGTGAGTCGCCACCCCGTCCTCCTGTGATACCGCCTCCCCGCTCCCGGGGAGAAGAAGGGGTGCTGCATCTCTGTGTGAACCAAGACCCTGCCGCGCCGACTCCCGCCTCGTCACCGGCGCCAGTCCCGTCGGCGTCGCGGAGCTGTGACGCGCCTTCACTTGCCTGCAGCCCATCCGCCGTGTGTGTGTGGCGTCGGCAAAATACGCGCCGGACACGTCTCTCCGTCCACGCCCTACGAGGCAGGAAAAAGAAGAAGTGCCTTGTTTACTCTCTCTCGCCTGGCCCTTTTAACCTGTGGCCTGCGGGAGGTGAAGCCAAGAAAAGGAAGACAAAAGACAAAAGACAAAAGACAAAATAGGCACTGCGCTTTTTTTCCATTTGATTGACACTCACGCAGACATGCGGCGCGGCAGCGTGCCCCGGAGGTCACAGTAGCCCTCATTGATAACTAAGCCGCGCTGATGTGCACGGCCTCCCCACCACCCGCACCACCACGTTGCCCACTTGTTTCTGCTTCTCCGCCCTCCCCGCACGCCGCGCCTACTGTGAGGTCGCAACTCCCAAAGGCCCCTCAACTACGACGGCCTGCTGCAGGCCCCATGAAACAGCAAGATAAAGCGCAAAAAAAAAAAAAACAGGCCTGTACTACCAAACATCATGGGAGTGGAAGCGATGAAGCGGGCCGCGACATGCCTCCCGCCTACCCCTCGCTGTATCGCCTTGAAAGAGCCGCCACTCCCACCCAGTATGGGCTTATGCATATATATCTATAAGCATCGATAATGGCTGCTTGTACTGCCTCTATGAATCACTTCTATGCCACCTCGGTGCCGCGATGCAGGGTGCGGGCCAACGTGGCCACAATGGCCGCCGACTGCTGCAGGAGCACGACGGCGTCTGGCCCTGTTGACGCTTCATCCAACAAAATCCCCCGCACTGTACTCGGTCGCACCGAAGGCTGTTCGTCTTGTCCATCTCTCATTGGCGGCAGTGACATGGGCGTCGCCTCACCAGCTCGGCCAATGCCCTTCACTGCAGCGGCCAGGCGCACTTTACTCGACGTGTACCGCCGCTGCAGCCGCTCAACCGCACGTCCCAGTCGCTGTACCTCCTCGTCCCGCTGCCGCTGCAGCTCCGCCAGCGCGGTCTGGTGTATCCGCAGCTGCTCTGTGTAGTAGGATTGTTGGGTCTCCACCTCAAACTCCGCCTCCTCTGCCCTGGCGCGTGCGTTGACTAACGCCTCTTCCAGCTCGCCAGTCCGTCGCAGTTCCTCCAGCGCTGCGCTCAGCTGCGCGGCCACCGTCTGAGCCTCCTCCTCCACTTCCAGCAGCCTCATAGTCAGCCCCGCGTTGCTGTCCTGTGTCTTTTTCAGCACCGCAGACTGCTCCTCCCACTTTTTCCGCGCAGTCTCCTGGGCAGAGCGAAGCAGATGCAGCTCGTGCTCCAGCTGGGCGCGTTGCTGTTCATGCGATGACGACGACGCCGCCAAGGCCGTCTCTAGTTCAAGTTTGGCTCGCAATGCGTCGCCGCACCTCTGCTCGGCAGCATCTATCACGGCCAACAGCTCCTCTCGCTGCGCGTCCGCCCGCCGCCGTGCCACGTCCAATGCACCCTGCAGTTTCTCACGCGTTCGAGCGGAGTCGTCCAGCGCTAATTGCAGCTGCTGCTGCACGCCTGCGAGTTCCTCGGCGTGGGCGGCTTTCATTAAGGCTGCAGATTCCTCCGCTACGCCTCGTTCCGCCGCCACAGCCGCCTGCCGTTCCTCGTGGGCCGCCTGCAGCGCACGTCGCGCTTCTTCGACGTCGTCGCAGCGGTCACGCAGCTGCATTGTGACGGCGTCGAGGCGAGACACAGTGTCCTCCGCGACACTCCGCCAGTGTCGCAGCTGGCCCTTCAGCTTTTCATTCTCGGCGGTAAGCAGCACGAAGCGCTGCTCCCACCGCGCGGCGGTGAGGTCCCAGAGTGTCTGGGCAAAATGAAACCGGGCACCCAACTCCGCGTACTCAGTGGAGCAGCGGTGAAGCTCTTCAACGAGGCGCAACTGCTCCCGCAGTGCCTCATTGACATCCCCACTCCCGCTGCTCTCGCTGTTGCTGCTGCCGCAGTAGTAGTAGTACTCCTCACCCGTGCCACTGCTGCCATTACCAGTGTCACCACCAGCCTCGGCATCCGCCGGGTGGTGACGCTGTTGCCGTTGAGAACGCTGCAAAGGTTGCTGCCGTTGTGGTCTCGCCTGCTGAGACACAAAGCCTCCATGCGTTGGCTCTGCGACCGAGCTCAAACTGGGTGAGGGTGTAGGTATAGAAGAGCCTGTGGCAAGCGGCGTTGTTGAGGAGGTGATAATCGCCGCACCACTACCTCCACTCAAAGCCAGCGGAGCCGTCGTCGTCCATGCACGCAGCTGATGCGAATCGTGGCCGCGACCCCGGCCGGAAACCATCTGCTGAAGTCGTTGGTTCTCAACGCTCAGCTGCTGCAGTCGCAGCCGCAGCAGCTCACGCTCCTCGCTCCATTGTGAGCGCTCCCTGCGCGCCTTCTCGTACTCGGCATCCGCCTTGGAGTACAGCTGTCGCAGCCTCTGCGTCTCCTCCACCTCGCGCTGCAGTGCATCCCGCCCCTGTTTCACCTCCTGCAGCTCGCGAAGAAGCCGCGTCGCCTCGTGCTTGTACTTGCTCACAACATCGCTGCATAGCGCGCGGAGCTGGAGGACCTCCGTCGGGGAGGCCCAGTGCTCAAAGTATGACAAGATCTCCTGCGGCAGCTCGCCGTCGTCCGCATAAAGCGGACGCTGGGTGTCACTGTTTGTGCTCGTGTTTGGCGGCCCTGACACCGGGCTCTGTGATGAGGGAAACCGCTGCTGCTGCTGCCTGGGATCGGAGCCCGACAACGTCCCCACCGTTGTGGTCGTTGTTGTTGTGACTGGCGGTGTGTTTGCCAGAGGCGAGGAGCTCGTGGCGCGGGGCTGGGATGCACCGCTAGACGTCATGACTGCTGCAACGGCTGTCGCCGCCAATAGGAATGCTGAAGAGAAACAAGACGAGGAAAAAGAAGCGGAAGAAGAAGAGATGAGTTAACCTCCAGTGACGGCAGTGCTGCTGCTGCCACAGCCGCAACAGCAGGAAGGATAAATGAGCAGAAAAAACGTGTGGTTTAGCCGATGAAGAGTGTAAATAATGAGGTGGAACTGCCGCAATGTGTCAGCATAGCCGAAGCAAAGCGGGGAGAACGAAGTGACGAGGCCCCACTTTCGCATTGGCGCTAAAAGTCTGAGAAGGCTGCAGGAATGCGGACGGCGTTGGTGGAGCCGTCGTGGTATATGTACTGCACGGTCAGCTTGGCCGCCGTCACCACCCCCGCGGGCTTCCTGTACGTTGCGGACGACGACGTCTTCGCCGTGTCCTCAGGAATAAGGCGGCCAAAGAAGTCCCGCTTGCCGCTTGGCCTGGGCCTTGCGGCAGGAGCCGTTGAAGGTGCAGCGGCTGTGAGGGGCGCCTGAGGCGCTGCGGCGGCAGCGGTGGTCGTGCGTTCCACCTCCACTGCCCGCACGCCGTGTAGCTTCTTATCCGTCCCCTTCACCCCCTCCCCCACTGCCGTGGGAGAGTGGCTCGCGTGGGTGGTGCCCCGCGACGGCCGGTGCGCACTGCGCTGGATGACGAAGCGTCGTATCTCCCCCACCATCAGCTGCCGCAGCTCCTCCGGCTGCCGCAGTACCACAACCGCGGTGGCCGGCCTCGGCGAGGCTGAGGCATCCATTCGCGACGGGGTTGCCAGGGTGGCCTGCCGCGTGGAGGGTGGTACGCTCGCGGCCCTAGGATCCAGACCCGCGAGGCGGTGAATCGGCGGCGTCAGCTCCCAGTGCTCCTCCACCGTGTCATCGGCGTCGCCGCCACCGTTTCCAGCCTTTGCGGCACGGGCGTAGCTGAGGCCGTACTCCGCGTGGCGGGCAACGGCAGCAAGCAGCAGCTGCTGGTCGCGCGGGCTCAGCGCGGACACAGACGCGATGGAGTGGGCGGACACACGCAGCGACGCATCCAGCAAAGAGTGCAGCAGCAGCGGAGCGGTTTCCTGCGCGACGACGTTGACGGAGGACATGTGGGCCGCCGTCTCGCCGTGACAGCCGTCACGGAAGGTGCGGACAATGTTGGCCGACTCTGCCAGGCGCCGGCTCAGCCCCGCCGACTCACGCGGAAACCCCAAACCAGCGCCACTGCGGCGTGAGGAGCTACAGCAACTGAAACACGTCGCGGCCGTCGTGCAGGCATACTGCTCCACAAACGGGATTAGGGTGGTCGCGGAGGCGTCGCGGTAGGCGCACGTGGTGAGTTTGTCCTGAAAGCAAAAGGCATCCGCCATGCTTCGGGTCCTGCTAAACGAATAGTCAGCATAGAAACGCTGCAGGTAGAACTCCTGCAGACCGTCCAGCAGCGTGTGGGTGTCCGGGCACTGCTGGACCACACGAGACACATACACGTGCCCGGGATCCACGCGAAACCCCTGCGCCACATGCTCCGCCTCCGCCAGGCGCAACGTGCCCCCACTCATTTCCATCGTATGCGCCGCTGCAGTGCCATGATGAATTCCCGCCATCAACGTCGCCCCGTAGTCAATGGCGAACTCCTTGTGGAGAAGGTGGACGTAGCTGTTACGCTCCTGCCGCTCAAACATGAGCCTCCACATGTCCCACAACCCAAGCTTGGAGTCCTTCCCCTGCATATCACGCATCATCTGCAGCGCCTCCGCTTTTCCGCCCGCCCGCGACGCGTGACGGTACAAAAACTGCAGCGTATTCAGGCAGCAACGAACGTCACCGTTGCTTGACTGCACCAACTCAACGAGAGCCGGCTGACTCACCGGCAACCCCTCGCGTGCCGCAATCTCGCTCAGCCGGGACAGCAGCCGCTGCGGACGAATGGGTGGAAGGTAGTACACGTGCTGGCACTGCCGCCGCAGGGGCTGTAGCGAAGGCACATAAAAGTCATTGCAGAGACAAAACACCGGGCAATGGATGTCCTGCTTCAGAAGAAAGGTTGCCACATTCGTGGCAATCCCATCCATCTCGTCAATAATAAGACACTTGGGGCGAAGCAGCAGGTCCACAAGCGACACGCCCACCCCTTCTGCTCTCGTCGCAGAGTCCACGGTTGAGGACGCCGCGGATGAGGAAGATGGTGACGGTGAGGACGGTGGCGCGCGTCGTCTCACACGCGCTGGTGCCACCGCGAGCTGTATGGCGCTCTCCATCTTCGATGCGGTGCGGTCGACACTCGCGTTAATCTCGATGGCTTCGTACCCGCAGTGTGCTGCGAGGACGTGCGCCAGCGTCGTCTTCCCAACACCCGGTGGGCCTACCAACACGGCCAGACGCTCCTCCGGCCTCGCTGGAGGAGCGTCCCCTTTCGCAGCGGCAGCGGCGTCTTGGAAGATGTACGCGTCCCAGCTCTTTAACCACTGCAGCAGCTTGAGGTTGATGTTGTCGTCGCTGAGAAGCTCGCGAAAGCGCTTGGGGCTGTACTTGATGACCCAAAGCGCCTCCTCAGGCGCCTGTTGCTGCGGTTGTGCCGGCAGTGTCGGTGGTGGCGTCACGCTGTCTTCGTCCACATGCCTCGCCGCCGTCGCCACCGCGTCGTAGAGGTGCTGCAAGAGGGCTGGGATGTCCACGTACCCCAGGCCGCCGCCCCCGTGTCGTCTGTGCCAATCCCGTACGGCACTCGCCTGCTCTTCCTCCTCCCCCGCCGCCTCTTCCGATTCCTCCAGCTCCCTCCCACGCTTCCGCGAGGGCCTCTCCGCCTTCAGACCGGAGGCAGTTAACCAACGTACGACGCCGTTGTCGCCGCGTATCATAAAGCTCACTAGCGACAGCGGCGGGTACTCGCAGATGCCACGAAACGCCTCCGTCGTCGTCGTTGCTGTCACCTGCAGCGCAGGGCCCACAGATGCATCGTCCGTGGCGCACGCGGCGCCCTCAGCCACCACCATGGGCCGCAGCTGGTGTTGTTGCCGCTGTACGACGGCACCTCCAGCTGCAGGAACGTCGTCATTTGCGCACGGCACACCACGCAGTAACTCCTCGTCCTCGTCATCGTCCTCGTTGTTGTCATGATACGCCTCGCGCTGTGCGGCAAGCCACATCACCTCCGCGTCCTCCTCCTCCAGGGTTGCTTTGCGTTGCATGGCTTCTATGGACCCTCCGTCGATTAATACGTATGTACCAATGTATGTATGTATGTATGGATAGATAAATGTGTGCTACCAAAACTGCAACGCCTTGCACGCCGTGCCGTCCCCCCACCCCCACCTCACTACAAGTCTTCTGTCACCGGACGCAGCAGCGCAAGCAGAGCAGTGGGCAAGAAAACAAGCAGAACAAAAACAAAAACAAAGGGAATAAAAGCGGGACAGTGTCAGCGGTCCATCATGCAGCGGGCACACAAATACCGCCTCGCAGCGTCGCCCGTACAACACGAGGGACGGAGAGCTAAATGTATACAACGCGTCAGTTGAGACGGGCGGGCCGACACAGACACGCCCTCTCAAAGGCCGGGGCAAGCCACGTTGAGGCTCTCACAGAGGTCCCTCAAAGCGCGATGCATGTCGCCACGAAGTGAGCCGACGCGCGAGCGCAGCCCCGCCAGCTGTACCTCCCACCCATGACGACTACGGTCAACGTAGGCCTCAAACTGCGCACAGCGACTCTCCACGATGGTCTCAATCATAGATTGATGAGCCGACATCAACCGCCGCACATGCCCCAGCACGGGCCGCATGACTTCCCCGCGAACACGCTGCAAGCAACGCTCCTCAGAGTCTGCGATAAGTCGCTCAACGCGCTGCACTAACCGATCCTCCCACACCGCCGGCACCGCGTTGGTGGTAGTCGCCGCGCGGACAGCAGCGTAAGGTTCCGCCCCACTCGTGAGTGGCACTAAGGGAGGCTGCGGCAACGGTGCAGACGCCGTCGCTGCTGGAGGAGGTGGTGGCGGCGGTAGAGTCTGCAGCCTCAGCTCCTCCACATCCAACCGTGTTGAGTCCACGGTCTCTGCAATCGCGGCAAGCTGCTCCTCCAATGCGGCGCAGTGACGCTTGCACTCTCGCCGCGACGCCTTGAGGTCGCGTCGTTGGGCCCTCTGCTGTGCGAGAACATCCTCCGTATCGCGCCGGAAGCTGTCCTCCTGCAGGATGAAGCGAACAGCGGAACGCACGTGGGCGTCAAACGCCTCTGGCAACAAACCATACATATCACCCACAGCCACCGAACTCCACTGCGGCAGCGGCTGCGTCGTTGGCTGTGAATGAGATGAAGAGAAGGGCATCGCCTCTGGCGGCGCTTGAGCATATCCGTAAGGATTAAAATAAGGTTCTTTTTGTTCTTGTCGCTGTTGTTGCTGCTGCTGAAGGACCTTATGAACGGTCAAAACGGTGTACTGTTGCAGCTCAGCCAAGAGCTTTTCGTACGGTATGGGGAACTGCGGCTCTCGCGCGGTAGCCTCCGCCGTCTCGTGGGAACTCCCCGCCAGCTGCCAAGCAGGCGGACACACCGACATGGACGGTTGTTGATGTTGTTGCTGCTGCTGCTGTTGTTGTATTTCTGCCTGCTGGCGCTGTAGTCCATTTACGCGCGTGTGCAGGGCGTGCAGATCCTCCCGCACGGCGCTGCAGAGCTCCACAAATCCCCCCCGAAGCGCCTCAAGATGGCTCACCGCGGCGTCGCTATCGCCCGTCCTTGTCCCGCGGCCCACAAGTGAGGAGGAGTAAAGCCACCCTCCCTCTGGCGACGTCGGCGTCGGCGTCTCAGAGGTTCGCATCTCCGCCGAAAGTGCCGCTGTACTCCGCAACGGAGGGATGATGTCGGGGCCCGCCGCGTGCGCCACAACAGCCGATGTCGGGGGCTGAGAAAAAACGGTACTCGACAGAGGCGGCGGCGGGCCCTGTCGCATGGAGGAACACCTCTCGTATGACGGCGAGGATGGCTGCAAGAACGCGCTGTCCTGCTCGGCGTGAGCGTGCGTCTCGGTGACCTCACGTTGAGCGTCGGCCGCAGGGAGAGAACGCTGCGACGTGGCAAAACTCAGTCCACTACTGCACGGGAAGCTGCGACAGTGCTCCATGTCCTGCACTTCAGCGTCCTGGTGGCCTGTGGAGCCGCAGAGAGCGGGTTGCAATGAGGCGTCGTCCACGCCGACTTCGTCGGTATTAATGCTGTTGCTGCAGTTGTTGTCCAAATGCCCCAACCCCGCCAACCATCCCCCGTCGCCGTGGCGCTCCACAGCAGCAGCGTCCTTCCGCACCGCCTCACGGATGCGCTCTAGTGTCTCCTGCAGGTGGTTCCAGCGGCGTGTCATGCGTTCTTTAGCCACGTGGCCTGCACTGGAGGACCGCCGCCCGCTTCGCGGATGTCGAGGAGTCGTAGATGCCCTCACACCGCGAGGCCGCAAAAAACGGCCAGGGCTCGGGGTGCGGACCAACGCGCTGGCGCGGACAGAGGGACTCATGCGGAGCAGCGAGGAGGCGGTGTCCCGTGCCACGCCTCTTGCCGACGGCGTTGACGGAGTTCTCCGCCGCGAGCCGCTTCGTTCCCGCCCAACAGCCGGCGAGGTGCGCAACGATGACGATGCTCGACGATAAGTCGATCCCAGACGCGGTGGCTGTGAACTGCCACAACGAGGACACGGGACGCCGCCCGACAGGCCATCGCGGCGGCCACACCCCGGCATCGCAGTGGACGGCGGAGCAGCCGTCTCCAGGGGAGAGGCGGCGCCAGGAACTCGTACAGGGGCATCTCCGTCATCGTCATCGCCTCTGTGGTGGTGGGGAATGTCAAAGAGGCCGCGGCACACCTCACAGTACGAGCTCATCGGGGGTTACGTGTGTGTGTGTGTGTGTGCACTTGCGTGGGGGTAAAGAAGAGCTGGTTGCAGCAGCAGGGCAGGAGAAACGGGTAATCGTAATGATGGTAATGGTGTTCCCCTTAAAAGTGTGCGTGTATATATATATAAAGACACCTTCCACCGCCGCTTCCCACCACCGCCGTCTCCTCCTCCTCG